GTCGCATATGCGAGTGATTTACTCGCAATGTAGAGGGTTGATACTTTAAGGGTGTAGTATAAGTAGGCACATTGAGATGCAGCATCAGTGTTTCGAGTCTGCATGGCGGTTGCACACCGGACGAGAAGCGCAGAGCCGTGCCGCGTCTAGAACAACTCGTACAACATGACTTATCTGGGCGCCACGGACAGATGCCGAAAACACATTATTTTCTATGAGTGTACGCACATCGGCGGCACCGTTCGGCGTCTGTCCGCGGCGCCCAGCTACGTCGTGTTGTACTTGTTGTACGAATTGTTCTAGACGCGGCGCTGCGCTTCTCATCAGGTGTATGACCAACCTTTATGCTTAAACGCTCTTTCTGGAGCCTCGTAATAGATTTTGTAGACGATTCAGTGTCCGGTTGAGTTGAGTGATTCAATGACTCGCTTAGAATATAAAAACTTGTCGCCACCTAATGGCGTGACAAATAATCTCAGTGAGTCAAGTCAGTGAACAAATCATTTAGATGAACAGATTCAAAAGATTCAAATCACGGAGTTGAATCAATAAACAAACAATCCACACTGCGTGAAAAAAATGAACTCTCTAGTATCAAATATATTCTATATATTATTATACAGAATTGTATATATATATATAGTTTTCTGAAAAAACGGACAATTCTTAATTATGTAAAAATGTATTATTTCGCTGTTTTATTTATCTATTCATTTGAAGAAGTTTATAGGTTTAAATGTTTTGTAGTTTCAACAACGTTGATCTTATCCATAAAGCCCCTGGTGGTTGGGAATCACACAGTGATCCAGGTAAGCAAGTGTGTACTGAATGTATGTAGAACTGCAAATAGTTTCGTCCAACCACAACAGTGCACATGGGGAATATTGTCTGACTCAATCTCAACCCTGATGAGTTAAAAAAGGGAGCAGAGAAACAGAGCTGGTTGACTCATCATCAGGATGTGAACTTCAGACTTACTGATCTCCGACAGTTTTCTTCTGCTACCATGCACCAGACCCAATACAAATCTTCAAATGAATCGAAACCTGGCGGCCGAGAATCACACGATTTTCAACCGTACACTAACTATAAGAATAAAACGTGCGTGCTTTTTCTCTGCGTGACAGAAAATAACACAGAAAACTATTGCATCGACTGTAAAAGCATGCACGCCTGCATGAAAAGTCACTTTACAGCCATGCCCGCTTCTATCTATTCAAACTTCTAGCAAGAGTCTATCAGTTCAGTTACTTAATTATATAAATCATAGCCACTGCGAATCTTTGAACAGACTCCGTCCCCATTTGAAGACATGCAACAACATCATCAGGGCATGCTGGAAAACTTGCGCACTGCCAAAACTTCTCTCAGGGACTCAGACAAGTTTTCACGCTAGCTGTAATCAAACATAACATGCACAAAACACACTATTACTCTGTTACTCTTTCGTATGCATGATTAAGTTCGTCAGAACAGTGCAGCTGTGAGTTGCTACGCACTACACTGCAGCAGATTTGGAATCTGGTCACATTCAAACACATCTCGGGCTGAGATTACCGCTTTGATTTCTCTCCAATCCCGCGGGTAAAACGCGTCAAAAAGTGCAGATATTCCTCCTCTGGAAGCCCGAAATCCCATTCGCGATGTGTACGAGAGTTTCTGGGGATTTTACAGCTCAGGCGGCGCAGAAATGCAGTCAGTGAACGTCGCCATTTTTTCACCTTTTCCCGCGAATCATTTACGTTTTGCTTATGTAATTAACATAACCCGATCATCATCATCATCCACGTACAGGAAGTACAGCAGCAGCGCTCTCGCCTCGAGGAGGGGCTACAGAAGCACTGCTCCAATGACAAAAAGACATTAAATGCTCTGAGAGTACAACATGACAGGGGAAAAGACTGTAGTGCAAGTCAGAGTTGAAACTCCTCATGCTGAGTATGAAAGAGGACAACTGACAATATACACTAGATTTATCCATACAAAGATAGAAATTACAGAATAAAGTAATTAAACTTTAATATAGCCTAGCTATTAGATTATTCTGTTATACATGCAATGTAAAACTATAGATATAGACAGACAGACATATAGATTATATACACTCTTAAAAAGGATGTGTTAAAAACAACACACCTGTGTGTCTAGTTAAGGACAACACATTTTGTGCTACTTTTAACTCAACCAGTGTGTTATTCTTCTTAACACAGGGAGTGTGTTAAAATATTTAACACACTAATGTGTCATAAATCACACAATTTGTGTTCTTGAAATGTGCTATTTTTGACCAGTTAAAATGAATGCAATATAAAAAAAAGCACTTTTTAAAAAATATATATATTTATTAAAACTTGACTGCTACATTTTCACAAAGTCAACATTCACATGTCATTTGAATTTCATAAAGACATTTTTAAACAATTTTATATCTTGGATTTACAAAAAGGTTTTCTTTGTAGGAAGTGGTTTCATGTGAAGTGGTTTTACATCAGCAGCATTGCTCAAATTAATCACTTTGTATTCATTTGTTCTTTGGACTGCATAAGCATTTAAGTGTGGGTGAAAATACATTTGTGATAAAACTCTAAGAAACTAAAAACTAAAACAAAGAGGTCAGCCTTCCCAGGAAACATTTTTCCAAACTCAGTGTCAAGCTACAACACAGGATAGAATACACAATTACAACACTACTGTGTTTCCTCAGTATATTCACAAAAAAATTGAGTCTTTTCGAGTCAAGTTTATGCAATCTTAACTTCAGAGAGGCATTGTGGGCACATATGAATATCAGTAAAAAGAAAAAACTATACAGCAGTATTATGATTTGAATTAAACTGAATGAAAAAAATTAAGTGGTGGGGCTTGATTTTAGTGCAGCTTAATCTCTAGCTTGCAGCAGACTGATGGTTGGAGGGGAGTGGTTAAAGAATGTTTAAAGGATAACGTAAGAGAAGGAACAGCATTTCAGAGAGAAAGCAAAATTAAAGACTAAAGATTACAAAGACAAACATTTTTTTTTTTATTGCATAGATTAATTTTTCACCATAAGACTAGTAATGTGCGCTAACAAAGTAAAAAAAAAAAACATTTTGAATTCATGTGGACTTAATATCTACCAGCCATGTCCCTTTGCTGACAAGTCTATTCATACCTAGCTAGAAGAAAAAACCATGCAAAACACAAGTCCTTACCAAGTATGGCATGTCCACAAATCGAGGATATTGTTCTTTGGTGCAACCTTCAAAAAAAAAGAAAAAAAGGCAGTTAAAATATGTTCAAGTATATTACTTGTATCAGTATACGCAAGTACTCTCTTTCTTTTTCTTTTTACACGATCAACTTAAAATTACACAAAATGTGTTAAAATAGCCATAACACAAAAAATGTGTTATTAATTAACACACCCTTTTTGAGAGTGTACAGTAGTTACAGTGTGTGTGTGTATATATATATATATATATATACATACATGCATACAGTGTAGGCTATATACACAATTATATACAGTAAATGTAGTATCTATAGTTAGATATTAAAAGTTATATAAACTTTAGATAGATAGATATTAAAATGATATACAGTAGTTGTATAACGATAGACAGATAATAAAATTATATAGTTATATACAGTATATAGCCTATAAATATATAGTTAGTTAAATAAATTAGATATTAAAATGATATACAGTATTTATATAAAGATAGATAAATATCTGAATTAATTAAATGAAATTAATATAATATAATTATGCTTAACAGATCTGTGCTTAATCTATATTCAAAATGAATATTTATGAATCAAATGTAATGTCAGTTTTACAGTTTTTCATCACTGATACTTTGAGCATGATATAATGTTTGTTAAAGTTATTCTTGGAAGTTTTAAAAAGTGTAATGGTTTTGATGAGTGGATGACGTGAGAGATGTGACAGAGAGAGTGAGCAGCATATATGTCTTCAGTAAAGGTTTGCTGGCAGTGCAACTGTCACAATGCAGTTAAATTTTTAACACATAATGGGTCATACTTGCTGGCATAACAGTAATATTCTTAGATTTCTGTGAAATGTGGACATTGTAATTCAGGTAGACATCACAAGGTTATGGCGAGCTGACTAAATAAAAAAATGTATGTCGCCGAACAAAACTAACCATATACACTGGGGGCTACGAATTCCACATGACTAAGAGTTATTAGTTATTTGATGCAGGGTGATGATTTTTACTTATTGTAAAAAGTGACCCTTTCAACTGTGAGAAACCACCTGTTCTTTTCTCATCTGTCATTCGGCCTTATTTTTTTGCACACATTGCTGTAAGTGCTAACTTGAAGGTAACATATTGTACAACAAAAGTTGAAAAAATTTTACACTTTTTATTAATAAAAAGTTATGTTCATTAAGTTATGAAGTGATTTTGCACAGTAGCCAGTATGCATATAATGCGTTGGTTCAGCAAAATTTCCATTGTTTATATAAAAGGAAATAACAGTTCACATGCAAAAATTGTGGTAAGCATCAGATGTTCTATGAAAAAATTATGAATCTTCATAATCTTCTGCAAAATAATCCATAACATTTCCTGCAGTGATTAAGCCAATTCCCTGTTGTCCTCTCACATCAAAATCCACCAACATATTTGTTTAAAACTGTTTTTGCTTGTAAACGGTGCTTGATCTGTGCAAACTTTTTCACTGGAGAAAGCAATGGATAGAGGACTCATATTTTAGTCAAAAGCAATGGTTTGAAGTCTTAATAATGGATTTGTTTCTTATAAACATGCAGCTTTTTGCTTCACAAGACATTAATTTATGGACTGGAATCACGTGAATTACTTGTGGATTATTGTGATGTTTTTATCAGCTGTTTGGACTCTCATTCTGACGGCACCCATTCACTGCAGAGGATCCATTAGTGAGCAAGTGATGTAATGCAAAATTTCTCCAAATCTGTTCTGTTGAAGAAATAAACTCATCTACATCTTGGATGGCCTGAGGGTGAGTACGTATTTAGTTGAACCATTTATTTCAATTAAAATCGTAAATGCAAATAATATTGATTGTTCTAAATTTTAAAGAGATAAATCACAAATCATCTTTTATCTGCAATGTTGAGACATGCATTATGCAGATAAACTATGCTATGAGGAAACACAAAACATGGTAGTAAACACATTTTATTTATTATTACATATAAAATATGAAAACTGTCAGAATGATGTTCAAAATTTAAAAGAGTTCATTCCATAATAAATAAAAAAGAAATGTATCCAAAATAACACAAGAAAAAAAAATCTATGTTTAAAACATTAAGAGCCAGGTGTCAATCTAAAAAATATTTCATTCATGTACCCAAAGAACCAAAATGCAACCAAGACAAAACTCTTACATTTTTTCAGTTCATAAATATTTCTACGTTTGTTTCTTTGCACTCCATGTTCATTTTATCCAGATCCAGAATTGTTATGCTCCCTTAGGAATCCAGTCATCCTTAACAGCCAGGCCTTCATGCTTCAGGTGGAGGTGTCCACCACGCATTTGATATAGATGGTGTCATCCTTGCAGTAGGCGTGCTTAGTCGACCTCAATTTCCCCAGAGGGAAGAACAGGGGGCACCCGCTGGCCACATTCATCTCTGAGACGGGGCAGTGGAAAGATGCAGAGGAGAGGTCGGGACGGAAAGCGTCGATGACATGCTCCCTCTGGTTCTGATCTATGAGAAAGAACGTGACCTGCCAGGTACGTGCAGAAGATGTCAATGGCACATTATTGAGGAACCAAAGCTGGTTCATTACAACAGAAGCCACTATTAAAGGGGTCATATCATACATTTATTATTTAATTCTTTGTCCTGAGGTGCACTTAGTAAGTTTTTTTTGCACCATAAACAGCTGTAATTTAGTTTTTCATGACCATTTTACATTCTCTCTAACACTTTGAATGTGTTGCTTTTTGCTGTGCTGCCGTTTATAATTCTATATGCTTTCTTCAATGTTCATATCTGAGGTGGGGCGGTGGAAAGATGCAGAGGAGAGGTCGGGTCGGAAAGCGTCGATGACGTGCTCCCTCTGGTTCTGATCTATGAGAAAGAACGTGACCTGCCAGGTACGTGCAGAAGATGTCAATGGCACATTATTGAGGAACCAAAGCTGGTTCATTACAACAGAAGCCACTATTAAAGGGGTCATATCATACATTTATTATTTAATTCTTTGTCCTGAGGTGCACTTAGTAAGTTTTTTTTGCACCATAAACAGCTGTAATTTAGTTTTTCATGACCATTTTACATTCTCTCTAACACTTTGAATGTGTTGCTTTTTGCTGTGCTGCCGTTTATAATTCTATATGCTTTCTTCAATGTGAAATTTAGAGTTTTTAATGTTTTTTAAACCGCCTTATCCTTCAATAGCAGAATCGGTAAGCAATCTACACTAATATGTGTCACTCAAACTGCTAAAATCAGATTGAAATGCATTTAATTTTTTTCTTTAATTTGGCTCAAAAAGTATTACCATCTATAAAGCAGACATTTCTTTTCTTTAATCTATAAACCTGGACCTTTCTGCTTTTTCAAATTTTTTATTAGGTGTACCAAACACGCACACATGAGATGGTAATGCCCTTCAGTGTACCCTTCTGAGTGCTCACTTCAAGTGTTCGGCACTCTTGAGTAGAACATGATGCTCATTTTACAATGATAATCACTGCAAGACAGAAGCAGGACAGTTCAACGTGTGAACAGCATTTTAAGCAATCTTTGTTATTTATATACTATTAAAATATTTATTAATATTATGAATTAACTTGTATTTTTTTAATTTTTTGTTTTTATTAGAATTTTGGTTTAAGTTTTCATAATTTTGTCTTTTTAATAGATTTTTTTAATGATCTATTCAGCTTATCAATTTTTATTTACTTTTACTCATTTAATACTTAAACTTATGTTATTTCTGTTAGTTGTAAAGGCAACATTTCACATTTTCATTTAAGTTTTTTTTTAAGTTTATGTTTTTCCATCTATTTATATTTTATGTATATATTTATATATTTAATTTGAACTTTATTTCAATTGAATTTTTTGATACATTTCAGTTTTTGTTAATAATATGACCTAGATTACACAATATAGGCTTTCGAAGAAAAGTAAAACAAAATCGCCAGCTATTGCAAGTAATGCAGTCATCAGTTGAATTTGTATTCATTCTTGTAAACTCAGAATTCAAATTCAAATAATTTGAACAAATTGTCTTGCTGGAATGGGAAGGACATTTGAGTCCTACATTTGAGTTCAACATATAAAGTATAATTTCATAATACATCAAAGCTTTTTTTTTTTCAAAAGATCAAAGATAATTTGATTCCTCATAATGACTCCTTTAATGTATGAATTCAGCATGTAAGCATGTCTCATTAGCTAAGAGACAACACAAATGTGCATAAAATGATTGATCGGTTCACTGATTGACAGCTTGATTATAGTGTTTTACCTTATATCTGAATGGCCATGGAAGAATGGGGTCGTATTCTCCTTTCATTATGACAAAGAAAAGAGAGATGTGTGTTCCCTTTCCAACCCCATCTCCATTCAAGTAGAGCCGCATGCACACTTTAAATCCATACCTTGCGGTGTAGAAAGCTGAAAAACACAATGCATTGTCATTTTTATGTGAAGCTTGATGGGCTTTAGTTAAAACTCTTAAAAATAGCAGCAGATAACCAGAGAGCTTCTTTCATCTCGAAACTCAAATGCATGGCTTCCTTTTGCTGACTGCTGTATTGGAAGAACAGTTATTCTGATATCCTGTTCTAAAATCATGTGAAAGAAAACAAGTCAATGAAATTACCTTCAATTGTTCTCTTTCAGTCGTTCTCTTTCTCGGTCTTGCTGTCTATTATGGTTGTGTTCACGCAGACACATGACTACTGGGAAAACAACCCCATTTCAGTCTTTGTAACTGCTGCACATTTGCTTTTTTCATTTTCCCTTTCTCTGTTACCAACTCATTTTTTTTAGCACTGGTCTTATGAATGAGCATCGATTCTACTTCGATATACGACAACAACTAACATTCATTCACCACAGCTCTCCTGATGAGTCCAGTCCAATGCATTAAAGTATTCAGTGCTGGCAAAACTGTTTTTGCTTCAGCACAAAAGTGAGAAGTGATTGTCAATAATATATTGATTATGCCAACTGAAACTGCAAATGGAACAAGCTTAGAAAAATAAGGCT